CTGGTAGTTCCTTGATTAGGGTATTGTTCACTGCTTGATTGTGTGCCTGGTGGTAATCTCTGCTTATCTTCACCTCTATTGGGACCCTTTGTGCTTCATTACAAATTGGGTTTCAAAAGTCATCTTCTTTTAAAAAATGTCGGCCTAGTGACATGGAAGGGGTTCTTCTCGGAGTCCATAAGCTTTTATAAGGCTGTGGTCCTCAGACACTATGGAAATACAACTTGCAGAATTCTGCAAGACACAGCCCAAGTGCATCTGGTAAGCACTAACTGCTGGAAGCTGACCTTAAATACCAAATAGAAATGTCAAAAACAATTATGTAAAATTGCTAGCTTTTCTAGCCGTTGTATGGAATCAGAGACTGGGGGTTTGATTAATAATAAAATGTGTAAGATTCTTAGCTTTTCTAGCCATTGTATGGAATCAGAAATTGGGGGTTTGGCTGAATTAAATAATAAAATATGACCATGTTTTAAATATTTTTTTTCATCTTCTTTTAGCAAGAGTTTTAAATAAAATTATCAGCTGGTCAAACACTAGAATCACACTAGTTGAAATATAGTACTTAACTGTATCATTCTGTTTAAAATTAGAAGTTCAGACTGTGATAAACACAATTTTCAAGTTAATGCCATAATAATCTTGTATTTAAGGCTTGCCAGACAGATTTGGAGGGGGGGAGGAAGATACAGGGGAAAAAAAGAAAACTTATCTAGGACAGAAAAGCATATACCATCTAAAAGCAAAGCATCACCTCTAGTTAATTTTTAATGAATAATGGTTTTGACTAAAACAAAGAAATGTATGAGCTAGAATCATTCATGGCTTTGAGAGGTGAAATGAGAAAACAATACAATTCCAGAAGGTACTGTATTCTGCTGTATCTATAACCAGAGGGAAAAGAATATATACACTTTAAGTACCTGGCCACAAATATCAAGGAATTACAGTAAAAGCACTAAATAATTTATGTTATGATGAGTATGTGAGAAATGTCTTACACAGTTACAGTACAAAGAGCAACAAACAAATAAAGCAAGTGAAGCAAAACCCAATGAAAAGTGACAAAGATTACTCCAGTGACAGGAGAATGGCATGCATTTTTCTTCTTCTTCTTCACAAAAGAGAAGAAGGAGGAGGATAAAATTCCTTCCTGATATTTACACGTGAAAAAGATCACTGTGGACCTTTGAAACTCAGAACTGCAAATGTTCACAGTCACTCTGTCAAATCAACATAATGCTAGCTTCATTCTAAACTCTACCGTAGTGTTAAAATATAGCCCTCATGTAAGAATAAATTCCATGGCCTGATTCCAAAAAGCTACTTTATGTGCACTCTTAGAGGTTGCACATGCCCAGTGGGATTGTATGTTTATGTGTGTATTTGAACAGCAGGCCTCAACATCATATCTAACTAGTTTGCAATCATTCTCAGTTTCAAAAGCTGTGGTCAAACACAGATGGCTGTAGTTTAAAAACAAGCCCCAAGTAACCTTTGATGCATGAAACTACTTGCAGTGTTCTTCAAGTCATGGATTTTGTTGTACATATTAATTTAAGATAGTAAGGTATGTTCCTTGCCTCACTGAAGATGGTTTTGAAGATGTGCCATCTGGAGCCCTCCATGGAATTAATCTTTGCTTGACCAACTATGCTTGAACAAATTGCAGAACCCCCCATAAGCTGATCAAGGAATGTATTCTGAGCAAACAAAGCTGATGCAGGATATTAACACTTTTCACCTTGCACAGGCATGCAAAGATACAACATTCCTTAAGCAGTAAGATCATAGTCACCTAAGATATCAAGGAATGAACTGAAAGAACAAGCCAAGCGGACAGAAAGAGTTAATATATGTGAATATTTGTCAGCAGCCTCTGAGCCATCACCTCCAGTCCACAAGCATTGGCCTTTGGCACAAACAAGACATTCTTGAGATATTACTAGATGCTCAGCACCTATAGTGGACTATGGTCTTCATTGCTAGTGTGGAATTTTTAGCACTTACTGCCTTATGCAGTATCTGCTTTTCCAATTTCACATCAAATTCATCTATTTTCTCTCTTACATCCCTCAAGCCTGGGCATGAGCATAGCGTGAACGTGTGAATGAGCACAAAATGCCATGTGTACCATTGCTGTATCTGCCTCTAAAAGTTGCCAACTGTAATGCACAGTGGTGCTCAGATGCTAACTGAAAGCAATGTAGAAGACTCTTGCATGACTCTCACTGCACTTAACCACTTTTACATGCAGGGGTTGAGCTGAGTCATGTACCAATGCTTTCTATACAGCTCTTTTATTAAAACCATACATATTTCTAAAGTAAGTCACATCTTCTCTTGCAACTCCTTACTTTTCAAACCCTCAGTTTTAAAATGCATTTGAAAAGACAATATTGACAATCTCTTAAGTCAGTGCAGGACTCTCTAAATGGACTTTATGTCTACATCTGAAGTAACGGTTTAAGCCGGGGATTCTCAAACTTTATGGTGCTATACTATAACTTATTCACTGCACGTCTGCACAGGCAGAGCCTAGAGTGAGTTTTGAAAGCCTTCCTGCTTTGCCTCTGCCAGCAAAGTAGGAGCACCATCAAAATGAATCCCCACATTGCTTAGGCAAGTCTGCAACTAGCTTGCATAGGCAATGGGGCAAGCAAAGTCCAAGCAAGTTTTGGCAGTGCTCCCATTCTTCCTGCGCAAGCCTAATTAAAAAACAAAAGTGTCTCCCACTCTAAGTTGCTCATAACATTTTAAGGAGTTCTAACTGACATTTTGAGAATCCCTTTCATAAGCTACAATGGTCACAACTGAAAACTGATCCTGGCCTAAAAAAAATGGGGGAACCAAGCTATGAGTTGAATCAGTCTCATCTTCTCCTTGTAGCTATTGATAGAACTCTGCACTGACTTGGACTACTCTGATTCTTCAAAATACCCATAAGAAAATCAGGCTGCAACTGTGGCCAGTTCACTTGTTTATAGGTAACAGTAGTCTGTGCCATCAACAGTTTGTCCAAGGTTTGTTTTTTTTTTTAAAGGAATTGATTTCTCAAGACGAGACCAACAAAGAAACTAAAAGACATTACCTGCTTTGCTAATTACTTCTTGCAGCTCAACCATAGAACTAAGGACTGCAGCAAGAAGGTCAGAACTGGTAAACCAACTTAGTGCTTGAAGGCAGCGAATCTTCTCCTTTTGTTGTCCTGCATCACAAAAGAGAGGAAAAAAAATTAAATCCAATTCATCCTATAGAAATAAATATCTATTATTTAGATAGTTCATTACAGCTTGGTATGAAATCAGAACTGAACACATTTAATTCTGTTTTTAATATAATAAATTTGAATATACTTTAAAATCTTTCCTCGATTCTTGTTTTCATATTGTTCTTGGATAAGAAGTTATTTCAGTTCTGAAAACACTCCCTAATACATTTAAAAGAAAGATGAAATAAACAATTTCCATATGAAATCAGAAATTAAAAGGATAGTTATCAAATACCTCCATGGCAAATATGGTTTTTATGATGGAGATAAAGCTTTACCTGAAATAAAATGAATAAACAGACAAGTTGCTTTAAATAGTGAAAAATCAAATTTACAAATAGAAGCAAGGCACTGGATTCCCCACATGCTATATGACAACAGAATATTTACAAAGAGTATCTATCTTCTACCTCTATTTTGGAATGATTGTTATTTGTTTTATACTGGTGTATGACTGAAATAAAAGCAAATCAATATAAAGAATATCAGCTTCAATACCCTATTTCCTTGACTCCGACAACTCCTACAACAAAAAAGCAGAATTCACTGACTTCACTGAACAGTGCAAAATAAAATAACACAGAAATCATGTGAAGTTGTGCTCTCCCAACCATGATTAAGAGATTCATAACATAACAATTATGAATAATTAATAAATAATAATTAATTCTTGATTAATAATTAATTATTAAGAGATTCATAACAGTGATTAAGAGTTGATACCTTCCTTGGCTGCTATGTACAGTACTATTAACTTTTATACTGTTGGTTACAATTGTTTTAATTTTATTTTAATGCTGTTCACCACCCAGAGGCATTTGTTGAGATAGGTGGCCATACAAATTGATTAGAGAGAGAGAGAGAGAGAGAGAGATGATTCATAATACCCTTCCCTGGGATCCAGCAGATCCTCACCCTTTTACCCTTTTGGAAACCCATAAAGGGCTGGCTTTTCCCCTAAGCGCTGGGATAGAGTGAGGTTGGAGACCAGGGATTGTATTGCTTGATGGATTGGAGACTGCTGGTTAAGGTGCCAGGTTTTTGGTTTTACCGTTTCTTTGGTTTTTATTACTGTTGTGAGCCACCCAGAGTTATGTTTCATATATTGGGCAACCACATAAGTCTTTAAATAAATAAACAAATAAACATGAGTTACAGTCCTGCATTCCCTTTCCTCCCCTCCTAAACCCCATTTTGTTTTAATCAATGATATTGCATTAGATCTGCACCAGCTTTAGTCTTTACTGGCATAAATCAGGACTGATTTAACAGCAACAGTTTGACAAGTCTGGAAATCCTGGATCTGAGAGAAACTGAGATTATAAATCATAGCAAGCTAGAATATGATTTGCTTGTGGACTTCCAGGGTAGAAATGGTGAAGACGGCTCCACTAAAAGCAGAGCTGATGACCGCAGCGGAATGAAGGGCCAGTGAGTAGACTATCTCTTTGTAATTCCTCTCCAGATAAGGAGAGGACTTGAGATTGACCACAAGTGCTCCAGACAATTGCTTCTCATGAGGAGACTGCAAGACAGTGGTCTCCGGCAGGTTTCGAGCTCTGGGAGATGAGGGAACAGCCATGTTGCTCAAACCACGGTCAGCACCTTCAAAAGGACACTAGGTTGGCATACTTCCTTTTCTAATAACTTTCGGAATAATTGCTTGTTAACTGCTTTTCAGCTATTCAACCTTTGGATTGACAAGTTTTATAGTACTGGGTGACTTTCCTTCAATCCTTAGTGAAAGAAGTTTTAAATACAAGTTTAAGGACTTAATTTTTTTTTCTTTTGGGATAAACAGCAAAAGGGTGATTAGAATGTTGGTTTTGGAAAGTTACAAACAGACTAAGGGTCCAGATGGATTTGAAATAAGACTTTGGAATTAACTATAGGAATCCTTCTGGTGGGAAAATGCTTTTGTTTTGAATTCTTAAAAAAAAAAAAAAAGATAGGGTGGGACTTTGAAGGTTGGACACTAAAGGGAAGCAGAAGGAACTAAAGATTACAGTTAAAGGAGAAGAACACTTAAATCTGACTTACTAATACAGAATGAAGCAAAATATTTTAAC